TTTGTAATGCTAAAAATGGATACTAAACTTGTTGATTCTTGCCTCACTTCGTAGCCTTTTTGACTCGAGCTATTAAGTCTATTAGGTATCTCAAAACCTGATACCCTTTGGTCTAAACAATTGGGGAGTTATTGACCTAAAGCTCGCTACAAGGGTTAAGAAGAAAGTTTAACGGAGTGAGGTAAAACATGAGATTTGATTGAAAAAAAAAAGTTTGATATTGTACAATTGTATTTGATGTTTGGGCTTAGATAACTAGTGTGTTTGAATTACTTAGTATAAGCTTAAATGTCAAGGCACTCATATAGTGGAGAATCATCACATGCCTAGAGGTTGATTTTGCCGGTTAGACCCAACCGAACAAGAGCGGAAAAAGATATGAGTGAATTGATAGCAACATTTAGATTTACACCCGGAAAAAAAAGAAGAAATATCTATTTGAGCAGTGTAAGTCTCACGAGGGGGAAATGACATATTTGACCACAAAGGGTTGGTTTAAAGTCAATTTGAAAATTTTTCCATCTTGATAACTTTTTCCTAATTTAGATGATGATTGAAATTGACTATGTACCCACACACCGATCAAACATTGGATAAGCTAAAATGATTTTTGTTAGCATTATTTGGAGCATATTTGTGAATTGATTATACAAGTTTATGCTCATTGACATTTTTGGCAAGGTGTCTAATATGTTGATCATTATCACATTTGCATGATTATGTTAGAAGTTAATGTTACTCGAGACGAGTAAGAACTTAAGTTTGGGAGTGTGATAAGTGTGTTTTTACACACGTATTAGTCACTTTTCGAAGTTAATTATAATTGCAATTGAGTAGATTTCTATACATAATTGTGTAATTTTCACTTTTGTAGGCCAAAACCCCGACAAGAAGGAGAACGAGACAAAAAGAAAGAAAAAAGAACTTAAAGCGTATAAAATTGTGAAGTTTGGGACCAAGTTGCACAAGTGCTGAAAGTTTAAGTACCTTGGATGTAATTTATTAAGGGCGTGATCGATATGAAAGTCAAAAATTGAGGACTAAACTGTACAAGATCAAAGCTTAGGGACCAGGCGTGCAATATCTCGGAAGTTTGGCTACAAAATAAAAGAATTTTGACTTTAAAAGTATTGTGTGCCGTTTTTAATTCTTTTCAAAGACTTCAGGGACCTTGACTGCAATTTTCCTAGGTTTTAATTTAAAACCAGCAATAGGCAGCCACTATTTGGGAGAATTTGGCTTCTGCGCGTTTCAGCTTCTTCCTCTTCCTCTTTCATTTTTTTTTCTTTTTGCTTTCTTTCTCTTTTCTTTTTCTTTTTCTTTCTCTTTCCTTTTTCCTTTGATTTACTTGGTGATTTTGGAGGATCAATCAACCGCATAAGGAGGTATCAAAAGATTTGGCAAGGATTTGGGGAGAATAAAATTCAAGCTTCAAAAAAGGGTTTTATATTTAAACTTCGATTTTTCTCAATTATTTTGTCAAAATTGTAATGCATTGGATAAATATTTTCATTTGTTATCAGTTATATAACATGGGCTAAATTTGTTACGTTAGGATTTATGGTAGAATTTAACCCAACCTTAATTAATTTTAATATTTGCTTTTTGATATTAATTCACTTATTTTCATGTGTTTCTACCATTGTTATTATTGAATTTTCATTTATATGGCCAATGAATGATTATGTTTAGTGATTTGTACGTCGTTCGAGAGAACATTGTACATTTTTTACCAAATAGTAGAAACCCTAGGTTTGTGTAGTGGATAGAGATATACCACTAACCCTAGGTGATCCATTGAGTTATTTTCACAAAAAATTAATGCAATCATTTAGTTTAAATCAACATAGAGATATAGTAGGTTAAACTAATCAACTAGGGTTAATTTCGCTCGAGAGAGGTAATTAGCTAAAATTGGAAAATCGGATCTAACATAGTAAATGAGTAATTTATTAATTGATTTGTGGAAAAATTAATTAGGTGACGGTTAAGCGAAACTAAGAATCCCAACCACGTTTCCCTCAAAACTTTCCAAGTGTTTACGTTTTCTTATTTTGTAGATTTTTAGTTAATTTCTCATAATTTTCAAAATCAAATTTTATTATGTGTTTGTTCTTATTGTCAAAAATTAAATTGACTAAATTTGTGTAATTAAAAGTAAGCTTTCCTCAAGGGATTGACAACTTGGATTCAAAAAGTTCACTTTATTACTTGAATGCGACCTGTGTTTGAAATGCCAAGTTTGAAAAATAAAATTGATAATTCTAAAGAGTAAACCAAAGAGAATACTCCACAGTTTGAGGTGAAGTTACCTAGACCCAGTCACACTAAACTTGAAAATGATGAAGCTGATGTTGAACAATCTGATGAAAATATTGTTAACACATATGAAGGTGAAGTAGATGTACCTCAAGCTGAGGTTAAAACTAAAATTGAGAACACAAATATCCTAACAAATGATACTAGCATTCAAGATTACCAATTGGCTAGAGATAGGGAAATGAGACAAGTCGGACCAAATCCAAGATAGAAAATAAATAATTTGACTGACTTTGCTCTCATTTCTGGTGAATCTCTAGAACATTCAGAACCTTCATCTTATAAAGAAGCTATGAATAGTTTTGATTCTGAGAAATGGAAAGAGGTTATGAAGGAGGAAATGAAATCCTTACTTTATAATAAAATATAGAAACTGGTAAAGAAATCTGGAACTCAGAGAATGGTTCAATGTAAATGGATCTTCAAAATCAAGGAAGGGATTAACTCTACCGAACCTTTGAGATATAAGGCGAGACTTGTGGCAAAGGGTTTTACACCAAGGGAAGGTGTTGATTATAATGAAATCTTCTCCCCTGTAATCAAATACAAAATAATAAGATTGATTCTTGCACTAATTGTTCAATTTAATTGGGAACTTGAACAATTAGGTGTCAAGACCGCTTTCTTACACGGGGAGCTAGAAGATGACATTTATATGAGTCAATCCCAAGGCTTTGAGGAGAAAGGAAAATTTGACTTTGTGCAAGTTGCAAAAATCTCTGTATGGACTCAAATAAAGTCCTAAACAGTGGTACATAAGGTTTGACACCTAAAATTTTCACTAATAGTCAAAGTGCTTTACTATTATGCAAAAATCCCATGTATCATGAAAGATCCAAGCATATTGAGGTGAAGTACCATTTCATACGTGAGAAAATTGCATATGGTGAGATTATACTTGAGAAAATTCACACTGATGTAAATCCATCTGATATAGGAACCAAAATTCTATCTTTAAATAAGTTTAGAACTTGTTTATATTTACTGCATATTGATACTAATTAATCTTTTGCAAGTGCCGGGCGATGATGTTGGACCCTTTCACATATTAGTGCACCATATAAGCATACTGTAGGGAGTTTACAT